CCATGCACCATCACCATAGCCCCCTGTGCTCTTCCCTCCCCACTTCTGATCCCTCTCCCTCCTCATCCCCTGCAGGATGTCTCTGATTTATAATTGTCTGTTTGTTTTTGTTTTGCTGTGTTTTGTATTATTTCCACCCCAATGTCTTATTTGGTTCCCTATGTTCTTCCTAGAACTGAAACCATCCAATATTTTTCTTTTTTCTTCTGACTTACTTCACTGAGCATAATTCCTTCTAGCTCTATCCATGTTGCCGCGAATGGCATGAGTTTATCTTTCTTTGATTGCTGAATAGTAATCCGTTGGGTATATACACCACATCTTCTTGATCTAGCCTAATGAAGGAGCACCAAAATATATTAGACAGTTATTATCAGCTCTGAAAACAGACATCAACGAAAATGTATATGTATAGTAAGAAACTTCAACACCCCACTCTCACCAATGGACAGATCAACAAGACAAAAAATAAACAAAGACACTCGAGCCCTAAATAAAGACATAGAACTCATGGGCTTAACAGACATCTACAGGTTACTGCACCCAAAAAAAATCTGAATACACATTTTTTCTCAAGCGCACATGGATCATTCGCCAGAATCGATCACATACTGCGCCACAAGACAAACATCAACAGATACATTAAGATCAATATCATTCCAATGATCTTCTCTGATTGTAAAGGTATCAAATTAGAAATAAATCATAAAAAAAAAACAAGGAAACCTCCAACCTCATGGAGATTGAAACCCACACTACTGGAAGACCACTGTACTAATGAGGAGATCAAAGAAGAAATTAAAAAAAAAATACTTAGTGTTGAACGACAATGAGGACACCAATTTTCAGAATGTATGGGATGCACCAAAAGCAGTAATAAGAGGAAAATATACAGGCTCACATCAAGAAACATACAGGCTCACATGAAGAAACAAGAAAGAACTCAAAGAAACAACCTAATCTCACATCTCAAAGAACTAACAAAAGAACAACAACAACAAAAAAAAAATGCTAAAACCAGTAGAAGAAAGGAAATAATAAAAATCAAAGCAGAAATAAACTAAATTGAAATTAAAAAAATGCAAAAGATCAATGAAACCAAAAGTTGGTTCTTTGAAAAAATAAACAAAACTCTAGCCAGGCTCACAAAGAAAAAATGGGAGAAAACACATAAAAATAGGATTATAAACAGAAGAGGAGAAATCACAACAGACTCTACTGAAATCAAAATAATAATCAGAGATTACTATGAACACGTATATGCAAACAAATTCAACAATCTGGAAGAGATGGGCAAATTCCTAGAATGATATAATCATCCAAAGCTAGGTAAAGGTGAAATATAGCACCTAAACAGACCAATTACAAGCAGAAAAACTGAAGCAGTAATCTAAACACTCCCCCAAAACTAAAGCCAAGGCCCAGACAGCTTCACAAATGAATTCTACCAAATGTTCATAAATTAATTAGTGCCTATGCTACACAAACTCTTTTCAAAAAATTGAAAAAGAAGGAATACTACCAAATACATTCTACGAAGCCAACATTACACTAATACCAAAACCAAACAAAGACAACTCAAAAAAAGAAAATTACAGGCCAATCTCCCTAATGAATACTGATGCAAAAATCCTCAACAAAATCCTCGCCAACAGAATCCAGCAATGCATCAATGGGATAAAACACCACAAACAAGTGGGATTTATCCCAGGGGCACAAGGATGGTTAAACATATGAAAATCGATCAGTGTAATGCAACACATCAACAAAAAGAAAAATAAAAACCATATGATGATATCAATGGATACTGAGAAAGCATTCACAAAGTCCAACATCCATTTATGATTAAGGCCCCTGAAATTCTCTGGATAGAAGGAACATACCTTAACACGATAAAAGCCATGTACAACAAACCCACGGCTTAACAGACATCATCACAGCCAATATTATTCTCAATGGGGAAAAGCTGAAGGCCTTTCCTTTAAGATCAGTGTAGGGTAAGGAAAAATGTCAAGCTTTTCTGCCCTCCCGCCATCAGGCTAGATGATGGATCCTTGCGGTCCTGAATACATGCCTGATGGTGGACACCTGGAATAGGGTGTGGGCATAGGTAGATGGGATTCACCTGGCTAAGACTGGGCTTTTAAGGGCGGTGTCACAGGGATGCCAGTAGAAGCCGAGAGAGAGGCAAGACAAGCAGAAGCCAAGAGAAGGCCAGAGAGCCCAGAGTGAAGACTTGCTGGGGGCTGGGAGGCCTGCCAGCCTACCAGCCCCCCAGCGTCCCTGCCTGCCATGTACCTGGAAATCCAATGAAAGACTTTCAAAAACCACTGAGGACTCTGACTCCCCCTTTACCCGGTCTGCGGGATCACAGAAAACCTGCTCCATGGGCCTCCCCGGTGGCGCAGCGGTTGAGCGCTGGGTTGCGAAGCTGCCCGCGGCCTCTGCGGCGCGGTTCGATCCCCGGCTGCTCCCGCCACAGGAGGAGGGTCCCACATGGCGTGCAGACCTCTCCTGCTGCCCGCTGCTCCCCTCAGCAGTGTACTTCGGTCCTTCTGCCTGCTCTGCTCCCCGCTCTGGCTCTGGTGAATTCTCTCACCCTCCCGTGCTTCTGACTGTACCCAGTGCATGTAACAAACAAACAAACAAACCAGCAAACAAATAAATAAAGCATGCCTCTATAAAAAAAAAATACTATAAAAAAAAGAAAACCTGCTCCATGACCATTCCTGCCCTTACAATCAGGAACAAGACATGGATGTCCTCTCTCACCACTGCTCTTCAATATAATACTGGAGGGTCCTAGCCAGAGCAATAAGACAAGAGAAAGACATACAAGGAATCCAAATAGGGAAAGAAGAAGTAAAACTCACTTTTTGTAGACAATATTATAATATACATAGAGAACCCTAAAAACGCCACAGAAAAGCTACTCAATCAACCAGTTTAGTAAAGTAGCAGGATTCAAAATCAACACACACAAATCAGTAGCTTCCTATATGCAAATGTAGGGTAAGGTAAAAAATGTCAGGCTTTTCTGCCCTCCCGCCATCAGGATAGATGATGGATCCTTGCGGTCCTGAATGCATGCCTGATGGCGGGCACCTGGAATAGGGTGTGGGCAGATGTAGATAGGATTCACCTGGGCTAAGACTGTGCTTTTTAAGGGCGGCGTCACAGGGACGCCAGTGGAAGCAGCAGCAGCAGAAGCCGAAAAAGAAGCCCGAAGCAGAGAACGCCAGAGAGCCCATATAGAGTGAAGATTTGCTGGGGGCTGGGAGGACTGCCAGCCTCCCAGCACCCCTGCCTGCCACGTACCCGCTGAACCCCAATAAAAAAAACCACTGCAAAAAACCACTGAGGACTCTGACGCCTCCTTTACCCGGTCTGCATGGGATCAGAAAACCTGCTCTGTGTCCTGTCCTGCCTCTACAGCAAACAATAAATCTGAAGAAGAAATTAAGAAAACCATCCCTTTTATAACTGAAACAATAGAAATCAAATCCTTGGGAATAAACCTAACAAAATAGGTGAAGGACCTATACAAAAAAAAAAAAATTATAAAACACTGTTAAAAGAAATACAAGACACAAAGAAAAAGAAGACACGAAGAAATGGACAGACATCACCTGCTCATGGATTGAAAGAATTAACATTGTTAAAATGGCCATCCTACCAAAAGCAATATACAGATTCAACACTATTCCAATAAAAATCAAATATCCTCTTAATCCAAGTTCAAGGCTTTCTTAAAAGAGTGGTAAAAGGCAACAAGGTGAAGTTAGGTGGTAGCACTTGGGGGGTTTATGATTAGAATGAGATAACTAATTTTGGAGACAGGCAAGGAAATAGAAGAGGTAGTGGGAAGGGATTTGGTAATCAGATAACAACTGGCAGAAGACATAACTGAAGTTTGAATGGGAAGCTGACTGAGACTGCAGCATTATACTCCAGCATTTATTCTCTTATAATTAAAATAAAGGTTTTTACCTACTGACCTAAATTTTATTATCACCTAGTCAGTATTTGCACAAGTTCTGTAAATGCGTTTTGTTTGAAGAAGAATTAGTGTTAGTATTTGAACAAGGGTTAACTGAGGGTATGCCTTGAACGCTTCTCCCTCACTCTCTCTCTTCCCCAACACTAGTTTTGGAATTTCTTCCCATTGCATTCCACATTCTTTCTCCTTGAATTTTGTTTTTACTTGCAAATATATGTGACAAAAATTGCCAAACTAACTCAGCATTCTTTAATACACTTAGAGTCATTACCCTCTTTTAAGACTATGAATATTTACGTAGGGAAAGACTTACTACACTCATGCATTCCTGATTCCCTATGCATAAACGCAAAACACTTTATGTCATACCTCTCGCACCACCTGTTTGAAGCAGAAAACTGGCATTCCATCTCCAAAGCGCACTTGGGTATCCTGAATACTGCTTGCATCAACAGTAGCTGTATTGCCTGACCTCATTTTAGCCTGGGGCAGATGTAAACGCAAGTCAGAAACACCCAGAAAGTTGCGGAATGAGGAAGGGAAAAGAGATTGGGACATACAGGCATTTTTTTCAAAATTATTCTTACAACATTCATCTTTCATACTTTGAACATTTTCAGTACTTGTCTCAAACCGTTTACCAATTTGTAAGTTGTAGTGGGTCTAAAATTGCGACGAAGGTATAGAAGCTTCCCCACCTCCTCAGAGGGGGCGAAGGAGAAAAGTAATGCTGGCGATTGGTTTGGACATAATGAAGAAGGTTCTAAAAGTTAAATGAGTGGGGAGGTGCCTGGGGAACCGGCGGGGCAGGAGCTACAGCCTAGGGAGCAGCTGGTTAGGGGGGCCCTGATCTCTTCCTTCTTTGGGGCGGAAACTTGAAGTTTCACCGCGGGCCGGGGAGGGGCAGGATTTTTCCTTCCGAGCCGCGCCAGAAACCGGCACTCCAGCCTACTCCTGAGAGCCGGAAACGGATGCGTGGAATCGGTGGACTGGAGTCGGGAGGGAGCCGTAGTCCCAAAAACCGATCTGATAGTCCGGGCTGAGTAGTAAAGAGGGAGCGTGTCCACGCCCCGAAGAACCAAGGCGAGGTGACGCGGATCGCTCCCCGGGGCGGGGGGGTTGGAGAGGGAGGCAAGACACATCGTATAGGGCCTTTGCCAGGCGCCTTTTGGTGACGCGGCCCCCACGCGACTACGCGACGACCGGCCGCAAGCTCCACGTCTCAGGTTCCGCAAAGGCCTGTGGGAGCGGCCGGGAGAAGGAAGGGCCAAAATGGCAGAAGCGGCTGAGTCTCCAGGAGACCCGGGGACGGCATCGCCCAGGCCCCTGGTGAGCTTGGGATCTGCGACAAAAGGGACTAAGGGTGAGGCAGAATGCCCCCTAAGAAAGTCGGGTGCCGGGCTTGTGGCCTGAGAGAGCTGGAACCCCTTCCTCCCGGCAGGCCCTTCCGGGACCCGATGCCAGAACCAGACCCAACACCGCACCTGTTCTTTGGGCTAACCGGTCTCCTCCCTGCCCTCCTCGTTCTTCCAAGCTTTCCTGAGAAACTCTTGTTCACTTTCTTTCTCCATACGTTCAGGGCTTGTTCTCCACCCCTACGTTGTGTAAAATGCCAAACTTTAGGTAATTTCTTAAGTATCTTCCGCTGTCCCCTCATTTTATCAAGACCTGTCACTAGTCCGTGTTGGAAGAGCAGCGTTCTAAGATTAATGAGAGATTGCGCCCTATGAGACGTTTTATTGCTTCTAATTTCCTTATTGATTTGCTCAGTGAACCCAGTAGGATTGGTTTAATCCCTGCGCTTCTTGCTGCAGCTCCTTGCCATCTGCTTCATGACACTCTTGGTCCTATCTCTACAGGGGACAGAATTTCCATGGCAACTACAAGCCCAACGCCCGGACAAGTATTTAAGAACACAGATTTTGGAGTTAATTTTGCGGGGGCTGGAAATCACCCACTCTTCTGCTTGTGTGAATTAGAGCACATCATTTCATGGAGAGTGTTTTTGTCTGTAAAATGGAGTTTAAAATACTTCCCTCAAAGTTTTTATGAAGCTAAAATGGCATAATTAATGAAAAGTGTCTAGTACAATCAGTGCCATGAACCGAGGAGTATAATTAATTCAGCATTCTGCCCCCACTTCCCTCTTCAAAACAAGGCTTAGTTATTGCCCAAATATTATTTAGTTATATAGTAGTTGTTCAGTAAGTGGTACTTCCTTTTCCTCTGTCTTAAATCGCAGTTTAACATAGTAAAGGACTTCATTGGAAGACAGGTGAAATTGATTCTAATCCTGGTTCTTATTGGCTGTATTTATTTATTCATCTCTTCATTCAACAAATACTTTTTGCGCATCCATGTAGCGCAGACACTCTTTTAGGCACTAGGGATACAATAGTGAAAGCATGAGTAGGTCCAAGTTCTCACATAGCAGTTTTGACCCTTGAGGAAATCGCTCTAAACTCCAGTTTCCTCATTTGGAAAATGGGGATAGTAACTCATCACAGAAAACTCAATGAAGTAACTGAATGAAGTAATATACACGTAATGCCTGGTGTTACAGATATTTAGCTGTTTTTTGTCCCCTTCTCTCATCCAAACTGCCCCACTCCTTGTTTATGAAGATTTTACTAATTAATTTCATTGGTTCTAGTCACTCATTAGTATCCACTCCACTTATCTTCAACAGCTATTTATTGAACTCCTACAATGTGTAATGCACTATTTTAGTTACCTTAGGGAAAACAAATGGCCTAACTTTATGGTGCTTGCAGTCTAATTTGTAGGGATAGGACAATGTTAAAATATAGACATATATTAGAGAAAGTTAAACGTAAGATAT